GGCTGGTGGAATAGAGTAACTGGCTTGCTCTGTGGTTGCCTAGCAACGACCTGCTGAGTAACTGGTTTATAGTTTTGCCATTTTGCCTCGTGACTGGAGAGAAAGGTGGATAAACAGGAAACGCGTTTGGTAATATTTCAAATGAAAACAGAGCCAGGCATTCATGTTATCAACATATCTACATTTAATACAGTTTATTAATTTCTAGGATTTCTCCAGACAAAGAAAAGAATCCTAACTTTTCATGAACTAAAATCTGAGCAACACCAGCAACTTATGTACAAAGCCTGAACCTCAGCACAAAAACCGACGGGCCGAACTCACCAGACACATTCAGCTGTAAACTACCAAGCACTGGACTGGAAACTCCTTTTATTCACTGCAAAAACACAAAATCTAAACATTTTTAGTTTAGTTTCTGCTGCAAATGTCACAAAATAAGACAAAACAAGCAACTTTTTAGCAAAATATAGGAGCTTGATTTGAGTCAGAAACTCTTTAATATTGATGAAAAAGCTCAAATTTCATTAGTGGATTATTTCCCTTATAACAAGATATTTTTCTATAAGTGAAATAATCTAATAAAACTGGAACTATTTCATCTCAGTAAGGAATTATTCACTTAAAACAAGAAGTCATTTCTTCCTGAAAAGTTAGTTTTGTCTCATTTCAAGCATACTGAGAAGAAAGAAGAGTTGAGTCAATGATTCCTTAATACTGAAATATTTATAGTTCTACTGGATTATTTCATTTATAACATGAAAAAATGGTTTATTACAATAATCTGCCAGATACATTTTAATTAACATTTCTGTCGATATTAACTAACCAAATGCTCTCATATGTTGCTGAAACGTTTTGTCGTATTTTATGTCTACTAAGACATTTACACCAGAAACTAAACCCAAAATATTTTCTGTTTGCAGTTTTATTACAGGGATGCTGGAAATCCAGCAAGCAAACACTTGGACTGAGGTATGGATGAAGATGTTCTAGCTCTTCCAGCATGTTTTTATTTTTTATTTTAGGTGGCGGACGCTGGGGCAGTGGCCATCTGAACCTCAAGTCCTTTCTGACGGGGCAAAGATTTGTCCTAGTTCAAGGAAATGCACTTCATGCTTGATGCGATCCTCCTCGCGTCCAGAAACAGACAGACAGCGCAGCAACAGCTGAAAGTCTCTCGGGTTTAAACATTTAGGCGTTTCATATCCAGCAACATGGAAATGTTTTGTTTTAATGCAGCAATTCATCTTCTGATCCCAGTTTGAGGTTTTTCCCGAAACCTTAAACTGTTCTGATTAAAAAATAAGAAATATAGAAACCATACATTCAACTTATCTTAATTGTCTGCATCGGGGTGTGATTGATATGCAAAGGAGAAGAGATCTACTTAAATCTACTGACGTTTACAGTAAAGTGACGGGACAGGTGTGTAAGAGGCGCCACCTGCAGGAAGAAAGGGGTACTTGCTCCCTTTTCCTTTGAGTCAACAGCTTTTTGGCATTTTAGTGACTGATGGTCCGTTTTTCATGAAAAAATACATAAAATATACTTGGATGAAACATCAAATAAAACTCCAACGTCTTTATGGATCCCGACACAAAAAGTCTGATTCTTTCTTCCGTGTTTATAATCGGTGGAAACGCTGGACTGCGGCGCTTTCAGAGAAAGAAGGTGGAGGGCGACAGAGACCTGGGCGCCATCTGGTCGCCCAATCTGAGACCCAAAAACAGCGTGACGAAGAGGAGGAGGAAGAGGAAGAGAGTGAACTTAAAGGGAGCAGCGGCGGCTAACACTGAGCCTCAGAGCCGGAGAGAGAAGATTTACTGCAGAAGAAGAAGAAGTGATTCTCCGGTTTGGTGGTCCGCAGTGAGGCTGTTCTGCTTCTCCACAGTCTGTGTCGTCCAGGCTCCGAACGGGGAAACGGGCCGGGCGCTTCAGTAGTCCTCCACCCAACCGTTCTCCTGGATGAAGGCGTCGATCACTTCCTTCATGGCCAGGTTGGGGATCAGCTGATCCTGGGTCAGGGGGCTCCGGGTCACGGGGTCGAAGTGGCCCACCCGCTGCAGAGCCACAAAATACAGCGCCATTACATCTGGGGGCAGAAACCTTTTAGAACTGAATTGATTAATCACGATTAATCGATTATAGAAGTCGTCATCAATTCTGTTAGTAATGCAAAAATCAATAACTGGAGCTTGAAAAAAAGCTAATTGCTAAAAAAAAAAAAACACTTAAAACTAAATTATTTAATTTAATTGACTAATCATCAATTATTCTGATAAATCGTGATAATCATTAAATAACCCTAAAGTAGTTTAGTAATTAGTCACTAAAGCCCATTTGTCTAAAGTTCTACGCCTGCAGCTAACGATTATTTACTAGTTAATTATTCTGACAATCAGAATCAAATACCACATTCTGCATATTTTTCATCGATTATTGTAATAGTCTAATTTAGTAATTGATTAATGTCTAACCAGAATATAAAAACTCTTAAAAAGGCTATTTTTATTATCTTAAAATACAAAATATATTTTTTGTAAGATTTGGCTGAATTATTGCTGTAAGCAGCTGAAACAATCTGATTAATCAGTTATTGAAATAATCGTCAACTAATTTAGTAAATCGATTAATCGTTAACTGGACTATAAGACCATTTGCTTAAAAAACAATATTCTTAGAGCTGAGCTTTCAACTAATGATTATTTTAGTAACTGATTATTCTGACGATTAATCGGATTAAATGCCACATTCTGCATTCTAAAATAGTTTTTCTGTATCGGATTAGTACGAGCCGATACTAAACCTCAGATATCAAAAGTGGAAAAGGTTTTAGGTCTGTAAACAAAAGTCTCAGTAAGAATCATCTGATAACCAACTAAATTCAAACTTCGGCCCAGCAGGAAGCGTTTCTGTAGCTGCAGACGACGGAGCGTTCGCTAGAGGAAGTCCTGAAACCTCCGTCGGGCGTTTCTACCTGCAGATGCTCCTCGATGTCTTTGCGGTCGTAGGTGATGCCGCTGGGTGTGATGCACGGCTCCCGCATCAGCTCAAAGCTGATCTTTCCACAAAGGTAATCTGGGATTTCTCGCTTCTGAAAGACGGAGAGAAAAACATGAGGGGATAAATGTGACGTTCAGCTCAAAATGATGACGATATGAACACGATAAAAGCTCCTTCTGCAGAGTTTAGGTTCATTAAATCCAGATCATCATCCGTCTGCTGACAGACGGTGCTGTGAAATAGTTTCCATGGTAACCATCGGTGCTAAAAGTAAAACTAAAGAGCACATAATGTTTACTGGATAAAGTCATGCTGGTTATAAAACTGTTCCCTTAAATCTGTTACAGGTTTGTGTTATCAATGAACACGATCAACAGGAAGTGAAAATCATTCTCCATACTCACTTTTCTTTTCTCATCCACCTGAGAGAAAAGCTCTTCCATCTCCATTAAATACTTCTCCTTCACATTAAGACGAAATAAAACCAGGCATTAACACTCAACAGCATTTTAAATATTTCATTTCTGCTGTTTTTAAAGGTTACGAAGAAATAAATAACAGGGATGAAACGATTAACGATGACTAATCAATTATTTCAACAATTGTCAACTCGTCTAATAACTGATTAATCACATTATGACAAAATTAAGAAGAAAATCAGACGTCAATATTCAGCATTTTTAAACATTATTTCTGTAAGTTAAAGGATAAAAGCAGTAGGGCTGAAACAATTAATTCTGATTAATTGATTATTTAAATAATCATCAACTAACTTTGCAATCGATTAATCACTTTATTATAAAAACAGGAGGAAGGAAATCAGACATCAGAACTCAACACATTTTAAAAAATATTTCTGCAAGGAAAGACAAAACATACGCATTTCTGCTTTTATTTTTAATTATGTCAGTTTTGGTCCTCCATACAGCAGCAGTCCTAGTAAATAAACAAAACAACTCACATGTTTAGATGAAATTTTTCCAGCATCGCCTCCATTTTGATTGTCATCCTGTTTCTCTTTGTATTCTTCAAGTTCTCTGTGAAAACACAACAAAGTCTCCAGGTTTAAACTCAGA